CTAATAGCTCAGAGTTGTTAAAATCTTATCTAGCTCTGATTTAAAGGAACCCAAAGATTCAGCTTGCACTACGTTAGACGTTTGGAAGAAGGTGTGGGTGAAAATAAAATCAAAAATATAAAATAATGCACTCAAAAACAGAAAGGAAAAGGCTATTTGCTGTAGTGGTTGAGTAAAACAGCTTTAATTTACTTAATGAGCTTGTGGTGGCCATCAAGGTGCCATAGTGAATTTGGCCCTGCCACTTGATATGTTCTCCTGTGAAGCCTGTGGGACATAGTCTGAAGAGCAGCACCTTCAGGATTGGTCCTGATGAGACTTTGTCGCACACGCCTTCTCTGGACTATGATGCGTCACCCACAAGCTGTGCCCTGACAGTCTCTGCTCCAGTTTCATCATTGCCAGAGAGGACCTCCAGCACACAGATGTCCAGGGTGTAGGAAGTATCATAAGAACTTGGAGCAATTTTACTCTGAGAAAAAGATAAACATTTCAGCTCCAGTGACAAAAATGTTTAAAACAAAAAAAGAGAGCAAAACATAGCTTAATTAAAATAAAGGAACAGAGACAAGGTCTGCTACTGTATGTGCCTTACAGTGAACATGACTTCACTGCAAGATCTGCAGATACAGTTCCAATATATATTAACATAGTAGACAGGGATATTCAGGAATGTTTTAACCTTTATATGCAATTTGTAAATAAACCAAACAATGAACACAAATCTTAACCAATACTTCACTGTGCATCCTGACACACCCAGTATCTCTGCCATATGTTTTCCAGCAAGTTTAAATGACAATAGCATCTGCAACTGCTCTTGGATTATTTGGTACGCCGGTCTTCCAGTTCTTCCTACCATGCTAAAAGAGCCTGTTTGTCAAAAATGGCCAATTTTTAACAGATAGTTAAAATGGGAAGATGGCAGTGCAGGAGGTAGTGTCACGTCCGGCTCGTACGATCCTCGTGTGTGCCACACCCCCCTCATTACCTCGTGTTAATTCCCGATTATCATCACCTGTTTCCTGTTCCTCCTAGCTTGTCCTGTGTATTTAGTCCACGTCTGAGTTAGTCTTCCCAGATTAGTCATTGATGTGATGTGATGTGATGGATTGTTCGATGTTCGTCGCCTGTCTGCCCTGATTAAACCCCGTATATCGAAAGTCACGGCTCTCTCGTCTACTTCCCGGCTCGCCAGCTCCTGATCATAACAGGTAGTGCTATCGTTCAGCTTCTGGAGGGTTGCAGGGTCGAGCCCTGGTTCCTCCTGACCCCATCAAAGTGTCCTTCAGCAAGACACTGAACCCCAAATTGCTCCCGGTGAGCTGGTTGGCGCCTTGCATGGCAGCCTCCACCACCGGTGTGTGAATGTGAGTGTGGATGGTGAATGTGAGGCATGTATTGTAAAGCGCTTTGAGTACTCGTAGGAGTAGAAAAGCGCTATATAAATGCTGCCCATTTTAGTTAGTCAATTGAAAAATTACATTTCGAGAGGAATTTTAAACCACCAAACAAATTAAATAAATAATTAGAAAGATGTTCCACAGGCTTCTTTACTTTTCAGAAAGGCAATAATCTATTTGATTTTAACAGTGTTGGTTAATGATTCAAAATCTAAAACCTCAAGTCCCCCATTTTCCTTGATATTACAAATAGTTTCCTTTTTCAAATACTGAGGTTTATTCTTCCAAATTAATCTATAAAGCATTTTGTTCCGTTCCTTGATCATATTCAAAGGTGCATCCAGCGAAAGAGAAACATACTGAGTGAGATATTCCTTCAGCCTTTCAAAGTAAAACTTTCCCTATCAGTGATATATCTCTCATTAACTACATATTGAGCTTTTTTTTAGTTTCTGTTATGATTTAGTCAAAGTTCAATTGGGCCCTCTGGTGCACATTTTTACAGACCACAACACCTAAATAAGTAATAATCTCTCTAACTGGAATACCATGTAATTCTATATTATTGGATTTCTTAAGGGAAAATGAAATGGNTTTACAGACCACAACACCTAAATAAGTAATAATCTCTCTAACTGGAATACCATGTAATTCTATATTATTGGATTTCTTAAGGGAAAATGAAATGGATTTGACAATATTCATATTTAGTCCAGAGACCTTTGAAAATTAATCAATACAAATAACCACCTTTTGGACCTCATATTTGTTACGGTCATCTGCGGATTTACATAATTTTAAATCTTTCCCCGGTACATTAATTCATATGAATTGTGGTTTTTTATCTGTAAGTTCATTACTTGTATAACTAACAAGAAAAAAAGAGGATATATTGGGCATCCCTGTCGAATACCACGATTTATATTGAACCTCCGAGATGTCCCACATTGTAATTTTACTGAACTACTACAATCTTTATACAAAGTTTTTATTTCCCTCAAAAAATATTCCCCAAAGCCAAAAAAAATTAATGAATTTGAAAATATATTCTTGCTCTACTGTGT